TTGAAAGCTGCTTCTGTGGATTTCTGATACACAGTGACCCTATGGAACAGAGTAGAACTGCCTCAAAGGGTTTCCAAGGCTGTAATCTTTACAAATTACAGAGATACCCACTGAGATGTTTCAACAAAGAGATGCAGTGCTGGAGGTGTTCACATGCTTATGCTAAGAAATTTGGAAGACAGCTACCTGGTCAACTGACTGGAAGAGATCCATGTATGTGCCCATTCCAAAAGAAAAGTGATGAAACAGACAGCGGAAATTATCAAACAATAACATTAATATCACACGCAAGTAAATTTCTGCTGAACATAATTCAAAAATGGTTGTGGCAGTATATTAACAGGAAACTGCCAGAAATGGAAGTGAGATTCTGAAGAGGATGTGGAATGAGGGCTATTGTTGCCAATACTGGTTGGCTCCTGGATGAAAACAAAGAACACCAGAAAGATGTTTACTTGTGTTTGATTGCCTAGGAAAAGGTATTTGACTATGTGGATCCCAACAAATTATGGATAACATTGCAAAGAATGGGGATTCCAGAACACTGAATTATGCTCATGAGGATAATTAAGACCAGGAGACTGTTGTTCAAACAGCACAAGGGCATACTGCATGGTTTGAAATCAGGAAGGGTGTATGTCAGGGTGATATTTTTTAAATGCATTTTATTGAAATGTAATTTATGTACAGTGAAATACACAAAACTAAAGTGGCATGGGTCAATGTATTCTTTTTTTTTTTTTTTTTTGCAGTGTTCCCTCTCCCCTCTCCCACCCCTGGCAACCAACAAAGAAAGTTTCCTTCCATATATAAACCTTTCCTTGACCCTCCACAACAATGAACTAATACTATATTTGTCCTTCTGTGATTGACTTACTTCGCTCAGCATAATGTCCTCCAAGTTCATCCGTGTTATGCAGTGTTTTGCTGACTCTACATTATTCTTCAGTGTTGCATAGTATTCTATTGTGTGTATGTACCATAGTTACCCATTCTTCTGTTGACGGGTACCTAGGTTGTTTCCATCTTTTTGCTGTTGTAAATAGTGCTGCAATAAACATGGGTGTGCATATATCTGTTCTTGTCCTGGCTCTCACCGCTCTAGGATATATACCTAGTAATGGGATTGCTGGGTCAAGTGGTATCGCCAATTCCAGCTTTCTAAGGAATCACCATACCACTTTCCACAGTGGTTATATCATTTTACAGTCCCACCAGCAGTGTATGAGAGTCCTAATCTCTCCACATGCCTGCCAGCATTTGTTATTTTCTGTCGCATTGAACCTTGCTGGGTTAGATGATATCTCGTTGTTGTTTGATTTGCATCTCTCTGATGGCCAATGATTGTGAGCACCGCCTCATGTATTTTCTGGTGGCCTGAATATCCTCCTTGGTGAAGTGTCTATTCATGTCTTCTGCCCATTTTTCAATTGCACTGTGAATCCCTTTGCTGTTCAGGTGTCGAAGTTTTCTACAAATCTTAGAGATGAGTCCCTTGCCAGATATGTAATTAACCACAAATATGAATTTGTTGTTGTCATGTTGTCACATGCTTTTTCATGGTGATTTCTTTGTTCCGTAAATTTTCCATGCTGAGCTTGTTTTATTTGTGAATCATGTTATCACTTCCTTCATTGATATTGTTTTAGTATTTGCTAAATATTTGTGCTGGTCCTCTTTTTCATTTTGATGTGAAAGTTTATCATTTTTCTTTGAGATTACCCTGTAATTTATAGTTTTATTCCCAAGTTTAGAACAGTCCATTTTATCTTGTAGTTGTCTTGACATCCCTACCATCTAGAAGTTCTGTAATGACACAGTTTTTCCACTCATTTTGGTTTGTAGTTGTCCTCATTTGTCAATTGATGTCTCTGGTTCTCTGTTTACAATCTTGTAGGCTTATTTACTTTGGATACATCCATAGCTGGGTTGGTTTCTGGGTTATATCATCATGTGTGTTAATGGTCAGTTGTTGTTGGCTGTTGTTGCTTCTCCGTCCAAAGGACTCCTTTTAACATCTCTTGTAAGGTTGGTCTGGTTTTAACAAATTCCCTTAATTTCAGCTTATCTGGAAATGTCCTAATTTTATCATCATATTTGAGGGACAATTTTGCTGGGTATATAATTCTTAGAAATTTTTCTCTTTCAGGACTTTATGTATACCATCCCATTGTCTTCTCGCCTGTATGGTTTCTCAGATTTTCCAAGAAATCCGAGCTTAGTCTTACTGGTTGCCCTTTGCAGGTAACTTTTCATTTTTCCTGTGCTGCTTTCAGGATTCTTTCTTTGTCTTTGGTTTTGGTGAGTTTGATGGTGATATGTCTTGGTGATTTTCTTTTGGGGTCTATCCTGTTTGGAGTTCAATAGACTTCTTGAATGGGTATATTCTCATCTTTCATCATACCAAGAAAATTCTTTTCCAACAAATCTTTGACAATATTTTCTGTGGTTTTATTTGTCTCTTCCTGCTCTGGAATTCCGATTGCACGTAGGTTATTCCTTTTGATGGTATCCCACATGAACCTTAGGCTTGCTTCATTTTGTTTTGATCTTTTTTCTGATTGATCCCTTTCCAAAGAAGTATTGAGGTATTTGCCTTGAATCTCACTAATTCTGTTTTCTATTGATTCAATTCTACTCCTTTGCCCATTCAATGAGTTATCTATTTCTGAAAATTTAGTATTAATCTTCTGGATTTCTGTCTGTAGATTTTGTATCATTTCTGATTTTTCATTTATTTTGTCATTTTGTTCTTGTATTGTCTTTTGAAATTGTTCTAGGGTCTTCTTTGTTTTCCTCAATTTTGTCAGCACTTTCCTTGATCTGTATCTCAATTCATTGAAGGTACCTAAATATAATTCTTTTAAATTCCTTATCAGAGAGTTCCAATGCTGTGTCTTCCTCGGGTGTGTGTTCTGGGTCTGTATCCTGGTCCCTTGTTTCTCCTCCTTTATCTTGCTTCTTTGTGTGGACTGTGATGCTCTGTTGTCTCTGAGGCACTGTGACATTTTTGTGTTTATATTTAAGTGCTGATTTTATGTTGGAGTAACTTGCTCATGATTTTTGTTTTCTTTGTATGTTATCTGTGTAAGCAGGGTACTGGGCTGTGCTCTTCTATTCACTAGTTGGCAGCACTTATACACTCAGGGTGGTATTCTTTCACAATATTCATTCAATCTGTATGTTGAGCAAATAATCCGAGAAACTGGACTATATGAAGATGAATGTGGCATCAGGATTGGAGGAAGACTCATTAACAACCTGCAATATGCAGATGACACAACCTTGCTTGCTGAAAATGAAGATGACTTGAAGCATTTACTGATGAAGATCAAAGACTACAGTCTTTAGAATGGATTATACCTCAACATAAAGAAAACAAAAATCCTCACGATTGTACCAATAAGCAACATCACAACAAAAGGAGAAAAGATTGAAGCTGTCAAGGATTTCATTTTACTTGGATCCATAGTCAACGCCCTTGAAAGCAGCAGTCAAGAAATCAAATGATATGTTGCACTGGGCAAATCTGCTGCAAAAGACCTCTTTAAAGTATTAAAGACAAAAGATGTCACTTTGAAGACTAAGGTGGCCTGACCCAAGCCACGGTATTTTTAATCACCTCACATGCATGTGAAAGCTGGACAATTAATAAGGAAAACTAAAGAAGGGCTGCCTTTGAATTGTGGTGCTGGCAAGGAGTAGTGAAAATATCACGGACTGCCAGAGAACAAACAAATCTCTCTTGGAAGAAGTATAGTCCGAATGCTTCTCAGAAGCGAGAACGGCTACACTGTCTCACGTACTTTGGTCGTGTTGGGACCATTCCCTGGAGGGTATCATGCTTGGTAAAGTAGAGGGTCCCTCTACTTGCTAAAGTAGAAAACCCTCAACAAGAGGAATTGACACAGTGTCTGCACGGATGAGCTCAAGCATAGCAAGGATTGTGAAAATGGCGCGAAACAGGGCAGTGTTTCTGGTACATAGGGTCCATATGTTGTCATAGCGTAGGTAGGAGTTGGAACCGACTTGGCACCTCACAACAACAACAATCTTTACAGAAGCAGACTGTCATATTTTTTTCCCGCGGAGCGCTGGTGAGTTCAAACCGTCAACTTAAACATTGCTGCCACCAGGGCTCCTTGAACAATACAAAATACAAAGACAGCTGTGGGCACCGGGAGGAAAAAGTGCATAGAACACTCCGTCCCAAGTTTAGCGGGAGTTAAAGATCCGTCTCCTCCTGGTCCCTCGCACACCTGTTTGCCCCCTCCTTTTCGAGGCGCGACAAACATTACAAGCCGCGTGCACCCACTTGCCCCACTACTTGGAGCTGCGGTAGGACCTCGCTCTTAGCAACTGTACCTTCCCCCTATACCAACCACTCACCTGCTTTTCTCTTCCTATAGGTCAGCAAATTTCCTTACTTTTTCTTATTGGTCCGCGTAACTCTATTGCAACCAATCAATAGCAGCCACGGGGGCCCCACTCATTCCCACTCACCTTGGGGGGGGACAGGGGGAGACAAATATCTTATTTCTGCACCCAATCCTCCGGAGGTCACCTTGTTTATCAAACTATTAGGAATCCCTCTAGAAGGAGGCTCTGAAACATTTTCTTTTTCCTAGATATGTAAAATCTGTCCTTTGTCTACTCCCTACTCCGAGTGGTACGGTCCCCACAGTGCGCCACCAGCCAGCCAGCCGCTGAGAGCGCCCTCCGCCAGGTTAAGTCCACTCAGAGAGGTGGAGACGATACCATCTATGACCAATTAATGGAGGGGAATTCCCGCCTTGCCCTTATCCGCTCCGACCACCTTTCGCATCTCTTGATCAGCTCTCTCCCATGCACAAGAACACTAGCTCTGGTGATGAGACTACTGCTCCCGGACCATGCAGGATGCGCGGAGTGGGAAAGGGAAAGGCGCACTTGGTACGTCCCACGCCGCGCCCCGCGCCGCCGGAAGTGAGGTGTCTTACCCCTCGAAGTTCCGGTTCGCAGGGGGTGGGAGTGTTGTTAACCAGAGCGGCCGCCGCAGTCGCGGAATTGAGCGGCCTCGCGGCGCTAAGCTGCTGGTGAGTGAGCTGGCGTCGGGCCTGGGTTGGGGTCGGGACCGGAATTTTCCCCTAGAAGCCTCTGAGGTCAGCCCGCCCCCTCAGCCCGGCCGCCCGCTTACGGCCTGTCAACTGGCTGTAGACCTCAGACGCCGGCGCGGCCGCTCTCCGCAGGCTGGGCCCCAGCTGCGAGTCTCGCAGCTCCTGGTACCCCCAGGTGCGCGGCTGCGAGGGTCACTGTGGCCCCCATAAGTCCAGCCACTGCACCCTTTCCGGCGGCCGTTTCCCGGGAGCCAGGAGTTGACACTGCCTCGGGGGCCTGTGGGGGAAGCCAGGATTCCAGGCGGACGTACCCCGCCCACTGCCGCGGGGCGCGGGGCGCGGGGCGCGGGTTGGAGCCGGCCACCCTGGCAGAGCTGTCACTGGCGCTGCTGCGTGCCGGGCCGCACCCCCCGCGCCCTACCGCTTCCCTGCCCTGGCCGCGCGTTCCTGTCTCTAGAGCAGATTCGGCTTTCGCCTTCCACCCTGGCACCCTCACGGAAGGGTCAGCCTGGGCAGTTCCGCCCTTCTCCAACTCGCCTGCCTTTCCTCATTGCCTCCCCAAAGGAGGCGGCTTGGCAGGCGGCGTGGAAAAAGCCCTAGATTTGAAATAAGACTGGCCCAGGTTCCAGGCTTTGTGTCAGTGGGATCGCTTAGCCCTTTCCAGTCGCAAGTTTCTCATTTGTAAACTGGGGGAGTGTATGCTGCCCTCGATCTATGAAGGTGAAGGGGTTTTTCTTTGTCCTGTTTGATGACACGTGTGTGGGGGCCTGTGCCAGGCTGCGCGCTCTGGTATCACCTGTCTTGTTCCCCGTTAGGTCCCCGGGCCAGGGCAATGTTCCGCACCGCAGTGATGATGGCCGCCAGCCTGGCGCTGACTGGGGCCGTCGTGGCTCACGCCTACTACCTCAAGCACCAGTTCTACCCCACTGTCGTGTACCTGACCAAGTCTAGCCCCAGCATGGCCGTGAGTTCAGGGACGGGAGGAACTCCTTGGGAGGGAAGGAGGAGTCAGCCTGGGATGGGGGCGGGGCTAAAGGTCAGGTAAGTTGCGGAGAGAGGAAGTGGCTACCAGCTGCTTCACTTTGAATCAGTTGTGATGGGGATGTGCGGAGGTTCCTGCTCCAGGAGTTGCAGGCAGAGGAAGGCAGAAAAGTGACTTCAAACCAGTCTCTCTCCACCCCTAGGTTCTGTACATCCAGGCCTTCGTCCTTGTCTTCCTCTTGGGCAAGGTGATGGGCAAAGTGTTCTTCGGGCAGCTCAGAGCAGCAGAGATGGAGGTAAGATGGCGGCAGCCCCAAAGGTGAGGGCCAGGGAGCCGGGCAAGCCACGCGTCGGTTCCATGGCCATCCCTGCCCCATCCCCAGCACCTCCTGGAGCGGTCCTGGTACGCGGTCACCGAGACTTGTCTGGCCTTCACTGTCTTCCGCGACGACTTCAGCCCCCGCTTCGTCGCCCTCTTCACTCTCCTCCTCTTCCTCAAGTGTTTCCACTGGTTGGCTGAGGACCGCGTGGACTTTGTGAGTCTGCTCGGGGCCTTCTCTGGAAGATGGAAACCAGGGAGGAGCCGGTGGGCAGGCTTGGGGAGAAGTGAGGGCTGGGTCCAGGAGGTAGCGTGAACCTCAGCATCCCTGACCGGCCACCTCGCTCCTGTTGCAGATGGAACGCAGCCCCAACATCTCCTGGCTCTTCCACTGTCGCATCGTCTGTGAGTGAGACTCTCTGGGAAGCCAGGGGAAGGAGCTGGAGGGAGGAGAGGGACGTGGAGGATTGGCACCAACTGTGGGTCTGTACTTTGAGCACAGGCTGCCCCCCTTGGCCCACAGCTGTACAGGAAAGATAATTTGGGAAGCTGATTTGCATGTCTCTCTGCCCTGTTCCACTTCAGAGCTTCTCAACTGCCTGGGCCCTCAGCTCCGCTCACCTGGAACTTGGGCTGCCCCAGTACCCCCCGAGGCAGAACCGGAGTTCCCAGGGGGCTGGGTTTAGCAGAATGTGACCACCACGGCTGGGGCCATGATAGGCTTGGGGTGGCGGCTGTCCTAGAGCAGAAAGTGACTGTCGGGCCCTGGGCTGACCCCATCCCACCCCTCGTTTGGGGGGTCCCCCACAGCCCTCATGTTCCTTCTGGGTATCCTGGACTTCCTCTTCGTCAGCCACGCCTATCACAGCATCCTGACCCGTGGGGCCTCTGTACAGCTGGTGTTTGGCTTTGAGGTAAAACTGCCCTAGGAGGTCAGAGGACAAGCCTGGGGTGACAGTGATGTGCCTTGAATAACGCCACAAACCCTTATTAAGCAGCTGCTCTGTGGTCAGCCCCCACCCACGGGCTCACCCCTGGGTAATTGGGGAAGACACAAAAAGGGGCAGGACGGAGGCGAAGGCCGGCGCAGGTGCTCAGGGGGCTTCCTGGAGGGTGATGCCAGAACTGTTGATGGACAGGAGGGAATTAGCTTGATGGGCAACTGGGGCGGCGTCCCTCTGGCCAGGAGAGTCCAAAGACGACAGCTCACATTTGTTCCTTGCTTTGTGTGCTTACCATGTGCCAGGCTGTGTGCTGAGCCCTTGACTTGCTGCTTTTAATTGGTGAAACACTGTTATAAAGAACAGTTAATTCTGTTACTTGACAGAGGAGCAAACAGGATGAGAGAGGTTCAGTGAGTTACTACCTTAAGTCCCGCCGCTAAACGGAGGAGCCAGGGTGACTCCAGCCAGGGTGACTGGCTGTGTCCAGAGCCTGTGTGCAGAACCACCGTCCCCTGGTGCCCAGTGTGGCTGCAGCAAGGGCACTTGCTCATGCCCCGTGCCCCCCCCCCCCCCCCCCCCCCCCCCCCCCCCCCCCCCCCCCCCCCCCCCCCCCCCCCCCCCCCCCCCCCCCCCCCCCCAGTACGCCATCCTGATGACCATGGTGCTCACCATCTTCATCAAGTACGTGCTGCACTCTGTGGACCTGCAGAGCGAGAACCCCTGGGACAACAAGGCCGTGTACATGCTCTACACGGAGCTGTTCACAGGTGAGCACATCCTGGACCCCCTGACCTGGACAGTGGCCCAGGCTCTGCCTCCCAGACCCGTGACCTTGTGTTTCCTGCACCCTACCCCCAGGCTTCATCAAGGTTCTGCTATACATGGCCTTCATGACCATCATGATCAAGGTGCACACCTTTCCGCTCTTCGCCATCCGGCCCATGTACCTGGCCATGAGGTGAGCCTAGCTGTGCCACGCCCCCCGCCCCTTCCTGGGCCTCCCCTCCCGCCCCTTTCTCTCACCCAAACGCTCCTTTCAGGCAGTTCAAGAAAGCTGTGACCGACGCCATCATGTCTCGCCGGGCCATCCGCAACATGAACACCCTGTAAGTGGGCCTAGTTTCCCAGGCCCTGCCCTGGGTCCCCCTGCCTGCAGTTCCGACCCTGACATGTCCCTGGTCCTCACCAGGTACCCGGATGCCACCCCAGAGGAACTCCAGGCCATGGACAACGTCTGCATCATCTGCCGAGAAGAGATGGTGACCGGCGCCAAGAGGCTCCCCTGCAACCACATTTTCCACACCAGGTAGGAGGGCCCGAGGGGCCTGCACACTGAGGACGCCCAGAGGCAGCCCTTGGGCACCTGACTGCCGCCTGCTCTTGTCCCGCAGCTGCCTGCGCTCTTGGTTCCAGCGGCAACAGACCTGCCCTACCTGCCGCATGGATGTGCTTCGGGCATCTCTGCCAGCCCAGTCACCACCGCCTCCTGAGCCTGCAGACCAGGGGCCACCTCCTGCTCCCCACCCACCACCACTCCTGCCCCAGCCCCCCAACTGTAAGTGGCCCCCTTTGTCTGGCTACCCAACACAGCACTGGTCCTCGCCCTAGGCTAGGTGTGGGAGACAGAAGGGAATGAGGTACGGTCCTTGCCTTCCAGCTGCTTACAATATGGGTGGGAGGGGTGGACAGACGAAGAGGGGATGCTGGCGGCCCTCCTGAGTTGGAGGCATGCGGGGGCCTGGGGGGTGCAGAGACAGCTCTCAATAACCAAGACTCCGCCTGGGAGTTGGGTCTGTCTCATTTTGGCTTTTTTTCACTCCCTGTTCTCTCTCCACAGTCCCCCAGGGCCTCCTGCCTCCCTTTCCTCCAGGCATGTTCCCACTCTGGCCCCCCATGGGCCCCTTTCCACCTGTCCCACCTCCTCCCAGCTCAGGAGAGGCTGTGGCCCCTCCATCTACGAGCACAGGTAAGCCTTTTGGGTAATGTGACAGCTGGGTGGAGGGTACCGGAGGCCCCGTGGTACTCACTGACTTCTTGTTCCTGTTCTTCACCAGCCCTCTCTCGGCCCAGTGGCGTGGCCACAACCACAGCTGCTGGCACAGCTGTTGCTGGTGCCCCTGCCCAGGCACCTGGCTCTGTCCCTGCCCCCGAGAGTGGCCCAGCCCCTGGCTTCCCCTTCCCTCCGCCCTGGATGGGTATGCCCCTACCTCCACCATTTGGTAAGTCGGGCAGCTCTCAGGTGTTCTGGAGGCGGCGTGGCAGGCCCAGCAGCCAGGCTGAGCCGCTCCTTCTCTCCAGCCTTCCCCCCAATGCCCGTGCCCCCTGCGGGCTTTGCCGGGCTGACTCCAGAGGAGCTGCGGGCCCTGGAGGGCCATGAGCGGCAGCACCTAGAGGCCCGGCTGCAGAGCCTACGCAACATCCACACGCTGCTGGACGCCGCCATGCTGCAGATCAACCAGTACCTCACCGTGCTTGCCTCCCTGGGGTGCGTCTCACGGGGAATGGGGTGCCTCTCACGGAGGGTGGGGCACATCTAGGGGAGCTGCCAAGAGGCCCCAGCAGTGGCCTTAGTCTCCCTGCCAGCCTGTGACACTTCTCTGCATCCAGTGCCTCCAGGAGTTTTACTGGTCACTCCTAGCACCTTTCTCTTCTGCTCAGAAAGCATGTCTGGATGCAAGGAAGTGGGAGTGACCAGCACTGTGACCCCTGCAAAGAGCCAGCAGGCAGCAGTCACTTGGTGCCAGCATGGCCTGAGTTCTAGTCCTGACCCCTTACTAGCTGACTCTGTGACTCCATTACCACATTTTAAAAAACCCAGCAAACCCACTGCCATTGAGTTGATTAACTCATAGCACCTCCAGAGGACAGAGTAGAACTGCTTGTCATAAATTTTTATGGAAGCAGACTGCTTCATCTTTCTCCTGCCTGGTGGCTGGTGGCTTCGAACCTCTGACCTTTTGGTTACCAGCCAAATGTTTTAAGCACTACATCCCCAGAGCTCCTCTTACCTGTAATACCTGCTCGTGGGTGACACGTACAGTGTGCCCAGCACCGGCAGTAACAGCACAGGCTGAGCTAGAGGCCAGAGCTCAGGACGTATGTTAGGCGGCTACCGGGTAAGGAGCCTGGCAGCCCAGAATGGAGATTACAGCCTAACAGTGAACAAAGGCCCTGCCCATAAGTGGCTCACCATCTGTGGTCTACAGCCACCTGGCCCTCAAGTCGCCTGACCTGGGAATGCCATCAGTAACGTTCCTGGTGCCTCCTGGTCACAAGGCACACCGGTCCTGGACTGTGCCCTGCTGGGCTCTCCAGTTGCTGGGAGAATCTGCCTGGTCCAGGATGCCAAGGTGGCACCCACCTCTCTCCTCTTCCTAGGCCCCCCCGGCCTGCCACTTCAGTCAGCCCCACTGAGGAGGCCGTCCCTACAGTGACTGCTGCCTCCTCCACTAGCACCCCCAGCTCCGAGGCCACCACCCCGTCCCCAGGAGCCTCCCCTCCAACCCCTGAGCCTGAAAAGCCCCCAGGTAGGTCTGGTCAGCCTCCCAAGGGTGGGCAGGGCGCGCTTCACGGGCCACTGCTGACTCCTCTCCCCGCAGCTCGGGAGTCGGCGGGCACCGAGGAGCCGCCCGAGGACGGGGAGCCAGACGCAGCAGAGCTCCGCCGCCGCCGCCTACAAAAGCTGGAGTCCCCCGTGGCCCACTGACACTGCCCCCGGCCCCTGTCCCCGCTCTCTTGAGCAGCCCTCACTGGAACATGTCCTGCCACCAAGTGCCAGCTCCCTCTCTGTCTGCACCAGGGAGAAGTGACCCCCAGCTCTGAGGAGACAGTAGCCGCCCCTAGCCAAATGAGAGGCCTGAGCTGCCGGCTGACTCCAGGCAGCCCTAGGCAGCCATGGGGATCGTGGGTCAGGCCCAGCCATCCTCTCCCACGCTTCAGCACTGGGTTCTGGGGCCTGGCTGGGCAGTGAGGGCCGAAAGACTCCGCCCCAGGAAGTCCTCTTCCTCCCCACCCCTTTCTGGGAGAAGGGGCAGCCCCTCCAAGCCCTGCTTGTGTGCGGAGTCATGCTGCAGTGCCGAACAGTATTAGCGTCCGTTCCTCAGTGTGGACTCGAGGGGCTGGAGGCGGGCCGGGATCTTGTTCCTTGGCCTGCCCACCAAGACTAGTACCGATTCCCTTTTCTCCCCTCTTCCTAGAACCTCCTTGTGATGGTGGCTGTGCCCCCTATGCCCTGTGGCATTTCCATGTCTTACTGGCAACCACTCAACTCAGGGAAAGAAGTGCCTGGGGATGGGGGGCAGGTGGGCAGCACTGAGGGACCCTGCCCCTTCCCTCTCCCCCCAGGCCCTTCTTCCCAAGCCGCTTCTCCGAGGGAGACTGACCAGGTCTCCCCCAGCAGCCACTGCCCAGCCTCCCTGCAGGCTGAGGACCAGTGCGACTGCTCCTTAACCACTGCAGACCCCCTGGCAATGGAGGAAGGCCCCCTCTCAGCCTGCAGGACTTCTTGAGTTGAGAATTGGAATTCCATCCTTCCTAGAGTCTTTTGGCTTAAACGTTGTCTTTTGAATTTGAATGCAGGCGTGCCAGGCTTCTGGTCTTTCCAGTTTAGAAAAGGCTCCTGCCAGGGAGGGGCCACAGGAGCCCTGGCCTGCCGGCTTCAGTCTTTATCCCCGTTTTGTGTTACAAGAGTTGCTGGAGACAGTTTCAGATGATTATTTAATTTGTAAATATTGTACAAATTTTAATAGCTTAAATTGTATATACAGCCAAATAAAAACTTGCATTAACTAACCACTGCTGGTGCTGGTGTCATAGGATCAGTGTGTCGGACCCCGACTCCCTGCAGAGGCTGCAGACTGGCTTGGAGTTTCCAGGAGGGAAACTTGAGCACATCACTGTCCTTGGACAGTGTTGATCATTAAACTCCACAGGAAGAAACTGTGCCCCAGAGAGGTTAAGTACCTTGCCTTAAGTCAGAGATCAAGTAGAGGAACCAGGATCTCAACCCTCTTAATTATCTGGATGCTGGAAGAAGGTGGGGATGGAAGCCTTTGGCTCCTATAACTCCCAGGGGGGACAGATGTGAAAGCTAGTTGAGATGGGATGGGAAGGCACATGCAAAAGGCCATCCTCCTTCCTGCCTGCAAACTCCTGTCTAGCCTTCAAGTCCAGAGAGCAGCCTGGTGCTGGGCTCCTGGAACTCCCAAGCACCCCCTTGTGGTCAGACTAACCAAAGCAAACCACTTGCTGGAGCTTCTCTTCCAGACCTTGGAAAGCTAGTCAGCCCCTCCTCTGCTCTGGAATGGAACAGGGACCCCAGATGGGGCTTCTCCCCCTCTGTGCCCAGGGATGTACCTGGACACTAAGCGCTCCAGGATCCGTGTCGCAGTCATCTGTATGCTCCATAGCCTCCAACCAAGCCAGGTCTGCCCTAGGGCTTGGGGGTGGTCTCTGCAGCGGTGAGGTCAGGAGGGCAGAGCACTTAACACACCCAAATGTTCTGCCTGGTGCTACTCTTAAGTTGGTGGGCTACCACTCCCTCTAGAGGGGCAGTCACCACCCCCAAGATGTTAGATAGCTGAGCCCAAGGAGCCCCCGACAAGGGAAAACGGAGAGGATGCCCCCACCAGCTCGGCTGTTCCCCTGGACTCCAATTCAGTAGTCCTCCCCGCCCTGACACCTAAGTGCAGACCCTCCCTGTTCTCCCTTTATGCAGCAAGGACGGGACGCTGAGGCCCATTCGCCCTCACACTCTGCCAGACCATGCACTTAGCCCTGGCACCTCAGTCCCAGAAGCGTCGGCACCCATCCCTTCCCCGAGGTCCCCTGGACTCCAGTCTGTAGAGGGCGCTGTTGGGCAGGCGGCTCTGCTGGGCTTCAGAAGCCCTTCTCCAGGAGCCAGGCTTTGAGCTGCTGGTCAAAGTAGCCCTTGACCCGCAGGGTACCTGTCACTTCGTTGACCTGAGTGATGGGCGTCTTCCCCAGCAATGGGCTTAGGAAGTCCTCCACATCCTTCTGCAGGGCCTGAGGGAAAACAGCCAGTCAGGCGTGGCCAAAGACCCGCCCCTCTGAGGATAGGGAAGGTGGTCCCAGCCTCCTGGGCTCCCGCCCTCTCAGCCCTTAAAGGGTCAGGACCGCCCCGAGCTACCCACCCACTTACCCAGATATCCCCTTCCACCTTCCGGATCACAGTCATGTGGCGGTTGCCGTGTGTGATGTCTCTGTAGACAGGGATGTTGTGCATCCGAGAGCGCCGCACGAAGTAGGGCAGGTTGGGCGGCGGGTCTGTCACAGGGAGGGACAGTGATAAACCAGGTCTGCCCAAGCCTCCCCCACCTCAGCCAAGGGCCCTTCCCCTCAGCGTCTGCTAAGCCTCACTATATTGACCAGGCCATACTGCCTACAGACTCCAGGCCAGGCCCTCTCTTTTCCTGAGCATACAGCCAGGCCTAGCTTGTTCACCCTGGCGCCAGGGAGGTGCTCAGTCAATATCTATGGAGTGAATGAAAAAGTAAAAGTCAGGACCATGGCCCTCTGGGGCCAATCTTTGCCCTCCTCCACTGGGTCTAGAACCAAAAAACCAAACCTACTTTAATCAAGTCAGCTCCATAGGCCAGAGCTGACCTGCCACATAGGGTTTCCTAGGCTGTAAATAAACAGAAGCAAACCAACTGCCGATCTTCTTGGTTAGCAGTTAAATGCTGTAACCACTACGCCATCACAGCTCCTTCTCTACTGGGTCAGAAAGGCTAAAAATCGATCTTTGAAACAAAAGACTAGGGACCTACAAGGAGCTCTGGTAGCGTAGTGCCTGAGGCACCTGACTGCTAACCAGAGGGCTGGTGCTTCAAACCCAGCAGCCACTCCTCGGAAGGAAGGTTGGGCAATCTACTTCCGTAGAGATACTGCCTCGGAAACCCAAGGAGGTTTCACTGTGAGTCGGGACCAACTCGACAGCACATAGTAACAACCACCACAAAGGGACCTCCAAGCACCAGGCACCCCCCTCACGGTGGCTCCACACCACGTGCTTTGTGTGTCAAGCAGTTCATTATCCCCACTTCTGGTGGCGTAGAGCCTAAGATATTTGACTGCTAACAAGAAGGCTGGCAGTTCAAACCCACCAGACACTCTTTGGAAGGAAGACTGGGCAATCTATTTCCGTAGAGATACCGCCTCAGAAACCCAAAGAGGGGTCACTCTGAGTTGGAAATGACTTGATGGCAGTGAGGTTTTTCATTTTTTTTTTCCTGCTAAAAGTGACATTGGGAGAGACTAAGTTTCTAAGCCATACCAATGGTGAGCGATAAGGCCAAATTCAAACCCACAACTGCCTGCCTCCCAAGCCTGTGTTCTCAATTATAGCAAGTGGCCTACTGGGCAGAGGGGACCCAAGCTTGACAAGTTTCACCTGCCCCCACCTGGCAAGGTCACCATCCCAAAGTGTGATGGGCACCAGTGAAACAGAAGGCTGGGCTCCTGGGCCTGCCCTTGGACATGAGCTACTAGCCCTGAGGGATCCCAACACGGGTCCTGAACCCACTGGGGAGTCCAGCGCCTCAGCTCCACTGGGGCAAGCAGACCCCTGGGGAGGATGCGTCCCTCAGCCCTCAAGCCACTCCCTTTGCCCAGCTCACCATGGGGGGGCTGCCACCCACTGGGAGTGGGAGACCGCTTGTGCTTTGGGGGCTCTGGAATGCCGGTCGGGGGTAACAGGCGCTCCACAAAACGGTATTCATCCACGGATTCCACAAAGCTGGGGTAATCAGGAGGCCCCTGGACTTGACTCTGAGGCAAAGGAAAACAAACACAAAAATACAACCATATCCGTCAGGTCTGCCACCAACAAACCTACCCAACACCCACCACGGGATGGACAGAATACTAGGAAGTGGAGGAGGAAAACATAGGCAGAGAGGATGGAGAGAATGCCGTCAACAAAAGGCTGAAGGCAGGAAAGTACCAGATTTATGCCAGAGTGCATCGTACAGGTGGGACTGGACAACGCATTCAGGTGGGCCTATGTCACTTACAAACGAGATGTATCTACTTCAGAAAAGCCAGTTAACCATAAGCCTGACCGATATGACATTTTTCAGTACTTTAAAGTTTTTTCTGACATTCTGTTGAAACATTCTAGTTCTCGGCACTTACAGCAATCCCCGATCATCTCCCACTCACGCTCATACAATGGGACCCCCTGCACGCACCGTATCAAGTGCTTTACAGGCATTGGTTTCACTTAATTCTTACAACGCAACAAGTTATGTTTTATTACCCCTTTCTACAAGCAAGGAAGAATAAAAACTCACTGCCATCAAGTCGATTCAGACCCCGCCTCAGGTTTCCAATATGGTATCTCTACGGAAGTAGATTGCCCAGTCTTCCTTCCAAGGAGTGGCTGGTGAGTTTGAACCGCCAGCCTTCTGGTTAGCAGTCAGATGCCTTAGGCACTACGCCACCAGAGCAAGAATAAGGCATTTAAAAAAATAATTAATAAATCATGCTACCTAGGAGTTTTGGTGTCACCATGGTTAAGCATTCAGCTGATAACCGAAAGGTTGGTGGTTCAAACACACCAGCTGCTCTGTAGGAGAAAGATGGGGCCATCTGCTTCCACAAAGACTTACAACTCTGGAAACCTATGGGGGCAGTTCTGCCCTGTCCCATACAGTCACTGTGAGTCAGAATCCAATAGACATCAATGAATATGGTTTTTGGTTTGGTCAGGTTACGCGAGGGAGCCTTGGTGGTGCAGCGATAAAGCACTCGCCCGCTAACTGAAAAGGGGTTGGAACCCACTAGCTGCCCAGGGGGAGAGAGATGAGGCAGTCTTATTCCAGAAAGATTACAGCCTTGGAAACTCTCTGGGGCAGTTCTGGAAATCGATAGCAGTGGGTTTGGTTTTGGTTTTAAAGTTACACTCCAGAGTCCGTCCCTCCATCCTTTCAGCCCAAAGATGCTTTTGGACACTTCTGACAACAGATACCCCAGAGTCTTGACAAGCCAGGGAGTTACAAGGACAGCAAGGAAGTGGGATGAAGTGGCCTGCGCATCAAGAGCCCTGGGATCCCAGAAGTGTCACCATGGATCTGGGGTCGGCCCCTACCCTATGGAACGGCTTCCCCTTCGAAGGACTAGGGGGTTCTGCCCTCCTGCCCGATTCCAACCTCCAAGCTCTCAAAGGCAGACTCCAAGCCCTGCCAACCTTCCTTCTCAATCTCGCACCTAAGCTCCAGCCAAATGTCCCCACTCAAACGGAAACGTTAAGGCCGTGAAGGACACGGTTTTCAGGATCGCGATTAATAGCAACGAGCTTCACACCCCTCAGCTTCAGGCTTAGCCTCTCTTACCAGGGGCCGTAGCCCGCAGCCCGGCTGGCCGCCAGTTCTCCAGCGCCGCAGCACAGCCCGGAACAAGGCCGTCGCCATCTTGGCCTGCCACTAACACTAGCCTTCTGCGCGCGCAACCCCCGTGGCCCCGCCCCTCCCCGCGCGTGCGCCTGGGACAGGAGGCGTGCCTTAAGGGGGCGGGGCCAGGACGGCCGAGATCAGTACAAACTTGAGGGCAACGCTCGGTCGCCCGCAAGTGACGCGGCACGCAGCAGCCGGTGAGGACGTGCGCGCCCTCGCTTCTTCCTCTTTCTCGGCTCCATCTTCGCCGTAGCGGCAACAGGGGTCGCATTTCAGGTAAGACTTGGGCCATGGCTGGATCTCGAGGGCTTAGGGGCGGGTTGGCTACAAGCTTAGCGGGCGCGGGGGAGATGGAGGAACAAGGGCTGCCCGGTCGGCCTGGCTCTGAGTCTCACTTGCCTTTCCTGGCAGCCCCGGCCCTCTCCACGTGAAACCCCCGGCCACCTCCATCCCGGCGCGATCTTCTGCTACCAGCCACCCATTCCCGACCCCCTTTTTGTCTCGAACATTTTCTCGTTTCCCACACAGGCCGTTTTTTTTTTTCCCCCTTCAGTCGTCGTCATGCAGCTCTTTGTTCGCGCTCAGGAGCTACACACCCTCGAGGTGACCGGCCAGGAGACGGTCGCCCAGGTCAAGGTAAGGCTCTGTGGGGCTCTTTGGGTTCTGTACCCTTGTGTTGCTCATCTACCCCCGCGAGAACGCTTATGAGCCTCATTTTCCTCCGTAGGCTCATGTAGCGTCACTGGAAGGCATCGCCCCGGAAGATCAGGTTGTGCTCCTGGGAGGTACGCCCCTGGAGGATGAGGCTACTCTGAGCCAGTGTGGGCTGGAGGCCCTGACCACCCTGGAAGTAGCTGGCCGCATGCTTGGAGGTGAGTTGGGGAGGACTGTCCTGGGAACTGCCTGTAAGCTCCTAATGGGTGAGGATGGTGTGATCTTGTCATCTTAGTGTCTTCTGTGGCAACACACATGGAGCTCTCCATGTCACCTTGTTTGCCTCTTCCACATGGAACTCCTGGGAGGCTGAGCCACAGTAGAGGTCTTAAGTCAGCCAACTTGTCAGAATTTCTCTGGCTTTGAATTTCCCCACAGAAATCAGGAGGTCAGATAAGATCCCCAAGGCACCTTGCAGTTTTTGCTTAAAATCAATCTGAAAACTCCTGAAACGAAACCCCAGAACATGCCACACTAACACATTGGTCACAGGTCACATCTCTGCAGTTTCCTTCTGGTTGCCTGTTGGGGCCAGCTTGCCCCTAAAGGCTTGAATTGAGAGAGCTGGGATCTTTGCTGTCCTAATGGCTTGCCACCCTTGTTTTCCGCCAGGCAAAGTCCATGGGTCCCTGGCTCGTGCTGGGAAAGTGAGAGGTCAGACTCCGAAGGTAAGTAAGAATATGGGTGGTGGCTTTTGTTATCTGTGACACCTAAGCACCAAAGTAATAGACTCTGGCCTTGTCTGCCTTCTCCCTCCCGGGTAATGAGACCAAGGGGTGGGGTTCCACAGGAGATCTTGGCCAGGGTCTTCCTAGTCGTTTCCTATTTCAGGTGGCTAAGCAGGAAAAGAAGAAGAAGAAGACTGGCCGGGCCAAGCGGCGGATGCAGTACAACCGGCGTTTCGTCAACGTTGTGCCCACCTTTGGCAAGAAAAAGGGCCCCAATGCCAACTCTTAAAACCTTTGTAATGTTGGCTTGTTCTAATAAAGCCATTTAGCCCAGCCATTTCATTGTCTGTCTTTCTTTGCAGGGCCTAAGGGGCAAGGATGGTTTCTAGGGCTGGTGGTACATCTCTTAGAAGAACAGTAGGGCCTGGTTTTGTTTCTTGGAGACACTGAGTTGGCTCTGGGGGGATGAAATGGTAAACTACAAGAGAAAGCTTCCTGTGAAAAACTGACCACAGCCGTCAGCCCTTCAGATGTAGGCTTGGGGAACCCTCAGATCCCACATAATACCTTGATAATGGTTTCTATTTTTCACAGAAGGAATCTGTAGGTGGAAGTTTCGTTGAAAGGTTAGCAAATGAATTGGGAAACACTAACCTGGCTCCTCCTTGAAGTAGTGTTCAACTGTAAGCTTGGTGGGGTCCGGAGAGGAACCTAGTCTGCCTTGGCTTTGGAAAGCTTTGGTTATTTCCTCACTCACAGGCACCCTGCCGATGAGTGGCCCTGTTGGTGCCTGACAGGCTCACTGACCTTGCTAACCGAATCAGAGCTCTCAGGGTGATTGATTGTTTCAGCGTTCCAGCCCAAACAAGGCTTCAGCTGGCAACTGAGGCTTCTGCTGCATCAGTACCTTTTCATCCATTCAGCTAGTTTTTTAATCAACTGGTTCTTGGGATACATCGTATCGGGATACAACGGCAAAGACCTTAGCCTCTGGACTTGCCCTGCCTGAGGTTGACACTGGCTCTCTTCACTGCATTACTCAATTTAATCCCTTTAGTGTTGGGAGGGTTAAGTAAAGGATGTAAAGTGCTTAGATCAGCACCTACCATACTGTACGTGCAAATATTGGCTATTACTGTCTTTGTTGTTGTTATGTGCTGTCAAGTTGGCCCCGACTCAGCGACCCCTCCTTGGGTTTCCAAGGCAGTATCACTACGGAAATAGATTGCCCAACCTTCCTTCCGAGGAGTGGCTGGTGGGTTTGAACTGCCAGCCTTCTGGTTAGCAGTCAAGTGCTTTAGGCACTATGCTACCAAAGCTCCCATTACTGTCTTTAGTGATTAAAAAAATCACCAAAACGTGACCCCGTCTTCTAGAAGCTTAGATTCTTGTGGGGAAAGTGGAAACAAACGACGCAATTTACAGCCTCGTAGTAAGCAGGGTTCTCTGATGAAAGAAAATGTGAGTATCTCTAGAGGAGGCCTCTGAAAATGGGATGTGTGAGCCAAATGTCAGGAGCTCTGGTAGCATAGTGGCTAAGGCACTTGATTGCTAACCAGAAGGCTGGTGGTTCAA